ATATTGCCCTGTAATTTTTTATTTTATAATATTTATGTCAGTGTCACAATTATGTATTTGCTCCATAAAATGACTTGGAAAGAACTTCTCTATTTTCTGAAAGAGTTTTTTATGTCTTCTTTAATCATTTCATAGAATTTGCTATCAAAAAAAAACTCCAAAAAACCAGCACAGCCATCTTGGCCTGGAGTTTTTCTTTGTTTTTGTGGGGAGGGTTTGGAGAATTATTTCTGGGTTTAAAAAAAAAAAAAAAAAAAAGACATAGGGTTATCCTATTTACCTTGAATCAGTATTTGTGAAGTATACTTTTATCAAGGAATTTTAAAGTTGTCAAATTTATTGGCATATAGTTATCGGTAACATTCTCTTATTGTCCTTTAATGTCTATAAGATCTGTAATGTCATCTTTCTTTAATTTTTGACAGTAGTAATTGGAGTACTCTTTTTTGTTCTTGAGCAGCCTAGTTCAAATTTGTTGATCTTTTTAAAGAACCAACTTTTTGGTTCTTAAATTTTTTTGTATTGCTTGTTTTCTAATTTCATTCATTTGTGCCCTTCATTATTGCCTCCTTTCCACTTACTTTGTTGAGTTCTGGTATGTGTTTATGAAGATTATTCCCATTTGCTTTTGTGTTTAGCCATCAGCAAACTTGGATGGATTCAAATTCCAAACTGTTTCTCCCGAATGGGCAACAACAGAATACTTAGTTCAATTTGTGCAGCCTTACAGGACTGGTCAGTATCTACCTGATCCACATGTAGATCACCAACTAGCCAGTGTTTTGAATGGACTTTAAATGAAGGATTTAGAACTCCCTTTTAGAACTCCCTTGTTCCTTTCTAGGATTTCCTCTTTCATACAGTTGCGAAGCTCACCCCGAAAGCTGCTGCTTCTTCAAGTCACAAAGCCTGCTGATTTTCTATCTGAATTTTAGTTACCTTCAACTAGGTTCTGCCTTCAAATGAAATCTATAGACAAAGGAAAATCCAACAGTGCTTTTTTACTCTCCTAAGTCTAGATTTGACTCCTCTCTAGTGTAGACCTATTTTTTTTCAGTAAAAAGTTCCAGTGCTTTCAGGCAGGTGTTGCTTTGTATTTTGCCCAGAGTTTATAGTTGTTATCTATTATAATAGGGAGCCAGTCCTCTATTAGCAGAAGCTAGAAGCATCAGTTTGTTCTTTTTTTTTTTTAACCTCATTCCTCTCCCTGTCTCCAATGGTTCTGTTTGTAAGTATTAATTTGGCCAAATTTCTAGGGCCAAGAGCAAAACAGAAGAGCTTATATAACACACAAACTGGATTAGTTGGCCTCTAAATAATTAAGCTCACTATGTCAATATTCTTTCAGAAGTAAAGCTCCTGATTTATTATGCTGTGGGAGTCCACAGCTAATTGGGACTAGGCTAACTCAAGGCAAAATTGGAAAGGCCATTTAATTTGTCTTCTTGGCACTTACTCTTCAGCATCTCTCCCCTGTGCTCTTTTAGGGTTCTTTCTGCCTGAAAGGAAATGTTCCCTGATCTCTAGATTTTCTCCCCTTGTAGTAACTATCAAAATTCTGTCTCTTCTTTCTCCTGGGCCCTGTTGTCCCTTTGCTTAGCTAGAGTTGGTAAAGGAACCAAAGTCTAGTTCTGCAACAGTGACAATGGGTTCATGTTCTCTGTTTCACAAGTTAATTCTACATTTGATATTAATTACCCTGAAACCATAGAATGAATCACAGAATGTAAAGCAATCCAATTCCTTCACTTTCCCTACTTATAAAATAAATTGCAGAGAGGGTAAATGACATGTCTGGGGTCATGTTCTAGTAAAATTCAGGCTAAAACTTCATTTCCTGATGATAAGTGGACTCAGGGATGGCTCCAAGTGTGAGTCTAGTGGCAGGATGTGGAAGGCGACAGGATTACAGTTTTCTGCATAGCTAGCTTCACTCCTAGATGGTGACAGTCAGACTAAACAGTGACAGTCAGCATGGTTACCTAGAGGGCTAACAGTGTCAATACTGTATGATGAGGACTGATTGAAACAAGGATGTTTTACCTGGAAGAGAGAAAACTGAGTGGGGACATTCATGGAAGGCTTGAGAGGGAACTCAGGCATATTCTGTGCAACCCCATAAAATAGAACCATGACAAATGGCTGAAGATTTAGCCAATTTCAGCTTTGGACAAGGGAGGATTTTCTAACAATTAGATATCTACAAATGGAAAGGCTGGTGGCTGAGTTCTCTTGGAGCAGCCAATAATAAATTCTGTACTACTAGAGGATCAACAGAGACAACTTGGAAGGGATTCCTGTAGTAGATGTAAATTTGGAATAATTTCCCTCCTAGTTTTTTAGAATTGTTGGATTCTCTGTTTTTTTGTTTTTTGTTTTTTTCCTGCTATCTGGGATCAAACTCAGGACCTTGTGCTTGCCAGGCAGGCACTGTGCCACTGGGCTAAATCCCTGGCCCCAGGATTCTCCATTTTGATGATGGGAGACTTTTATATTCCAATCAACATCACAAGGCACAGACACAGTAGTTATCTACCCTCTAGAGGGAAGAGGAGTCTCTGAATACCCTTAAGACTCCACTGTCCTTGTCCCAACCTGATACACATGGGAGTTGGTATTGATCAGGAGGATGGTGTGGCCTGGTGTGCTGCACTGTGATGTGGTGAGGGGTGATGTGGTTGGGGTGTGTGTCATGATGTAATATGCTATGGTATAGTGTGATGTAATATGGTGTACTCTATGGTATGGTATGGTACAGTATAGCATAGTATAATATAGTATGGTATGCCTTGATGAGCTATGTTATGGGCTTACGAGGTGTGCTGTGGTATAGTGTAGTATTGTTATGGTGTGGAATGTTGTGATATGTGAGAAATCATGGCCACAGTCTTTTAGCAGCTATGGAGCTCCATAGGGTTAGTGAACAGGTGGATATTGGAGTAATTTTGGTTGCAATGATAGAGTGCCACTTTAGTAATTTCCTTGGCAATGTTGGCTGCATCTTTTTTTTGAGACAGGGTCTTGCTCTGTAATTCAGGCTGGACTTATACTCACTGTGTAGCCCAGGCTGGCCTTGAACTCACAGCAATCCTCCTGCCTCAGCCTCCCAAGTGCTGGGATTACAGGCATGTACCACCATGCCTGGCCTTGCATCTTTTATAAGAAAGCGAGTCTTCTGTGTCACCCTGGCTGGTGGAATAATTTGGCAGCTGTAGTGTTATATGTCATAACAAAATGCATAAACACAGGGCCCATGGAGCAACTATCTTTCACCCACCCATCCCACCTACCCCATCAACAATAAGAAAGAGGCAGGCATCAAACTGAGTGCAACTCTTATCTATTATTTTCTAGTTTTAAAAGCAGTGAGTATTTTAAAGTTTAATCTATAAAACAAATCACAACTCACATGCCAGTTCGACAGAAGACAGGTGTGGTCTTAAAATATACTAAGGATGCTAGGCTTTGTGGATTGTGAGGCTGATCAGCCTCAAATACGGCACCAATGTTCTCCAGGGACTTCCAACAGGGGCTAAACTTTGCCAAGGACTCAGGATCTGGAGCTGTAATAATGTGTGTCATTTGCATATTTTTATAACACAAAGTAGCTTCTTAGCCAACACATTCAGGAACTCTTGGTATAGAACAGATTCACCCTTGGCTTTTTGGTCTTAGTTCCTTTTTCCTCTAATAGAGCAGTTCTTTGTGAAAAACAATTGTCATCAAGTATTATTAATTCTGTGACTAGTTTCTCTGGAAAACCAGAAATTTTTTTCGGTTTGACAGGTATTAGTTAAACAACTCTAAATGTTTCATGGGCAGATCTACCAAGTTTTTTGAATAAATCTCTGAGAGAGAACAGTTGTTAGGAAAAAGACATCTATGTCTATGATGGAAGAATGTGTGATTTATTGGAAGGTGGTAAGATTGAGAGGGACAGGAGAGGAAAGAGAAGGAGAGGTAGAAAGAAGGGAAATGTAAGGGGAGGAGGAAAGGAGAAAAAGTGGGGAGGGAAGAGAGAGACAAAGAAAGCTTGATTTAACTTGATTTAACTTGTTTTTTTGTTGTTGTTTCTTTTTTTCTTTTCTTTTCTTTTCTTTTTTTTTTGAGACAGGGTGTCACTTTGTAGTTCAGGTCTGTCTTAAACGCATTATGTAGCCCAGGTGACCTCAAACTCACAGAAATCCTGCCTCAGCCACCTGAATGCTGGGATTAGAGGCTTGTGCCACCACACTAAGCTAGATTTAACTTAACACTCTGTTTGTCTGCCCCCTTTGTTCCCATTGGTATCACTAAGTTCAGACAAAAGGAGTTATACTTATCTTATAAATAGCAATTGCCCTCCTAGTGGTCCTTCTGCCTCTCCCTTTACTTCCCTAACACCCAAAAGAATGGTGATGTCCAATCACAGTGCTGGATAAGTCTATTCTCCACCTCCATTTTTCATCTTTGACCACATTTCCGCTACTGTCCCTTGGGGGAGAAGTGTCCAAGAGCCAAATATGATTAGCATCATCATTGACATTAAGAAGTAGAGAGTACTAGGTGACAGAAACTCTGATTTCCCTGGAGCCTGCATCTGTGGCTCCTGGTAGGCACCCCACACCCCACATCTTTGTCTGTAGAGACCTGATATTCTGCCAATGATTAGACATGGTGAGATGCTGCCCTCTAAGGAAGAGAGCTGGAGAGGAAATGCCATGTGCTTTTGTTTCTTCCTGCTTGCCCTAAAGATCTTTAAGGAGATACCTATTCTGCATCATCATTTATGGCTGAAATTTCATAGTTACATCTATAATTAAAGGAAAGTATGTTTCCTGCTGCAGGGGCTAGCTAGATGCTCTTCCAGAAACATTTAGAGTAACCAAATTATTGTCTATGTGTCTATAGACACCTTTATCATCATGGTTTTCCTAATGATGTTTGTTACGTTAGAATACATGCATGCTCAACAGGTCTTCCTGTTGGTGGCTGATTCTGTCTCCCAACCCACCTGCCCCTCACATCACAGAACACTTCTGCTCTGCTGACTGCTTGATTTCCGTGAAGGTGGCCTGAGCCTTTTCTTTTATGGTATCCAAGTTCATGTTTTGGAGATTCTGTAACTGCCCAAGAATAGAATCCTTATCTTCTTCCTCTTCTTGATCTTCTTCTACCATTTTCTGAAGATCTTCAGGTAAATCCACATCATCCCCAGCCATCTGGATTTGAGTCTCATCCATTTCACTCTAGGTGAAAAATAAATACACATATAGAGAAATAACTCTAAAATTGACCAACTAATTAACTAAATGTAAATAAATAAATGTAAAATAAATAAATAACATGTAGCAGGAAAAAAAAATGTCTGCTGAGAATTAATGAAGCTAAAACATGTTTGGCTCCCAAATGCCATACCCTTGACCTGGTGGCAGTTGGTGAGTCCAGAGTCCTGGGTTTGGAGATCCTTCCTTTGCTGCACCTCAGGCTGGCCACACCCTTCTAACCTGGTAGTTCTTCAACTGTGGTCAAATGGACTAATGACATTAGCATCATCTAGAGGGCTATTAGAAATAAATTCTCTGGCCCGCCTCAGACCTACTCAATCAGAAATTTGGGTGCTGGCCCTCTATGGCCTGGGTGTTAAGAAGCCCTCTCTGCAATGCTGATGCACACTGAAGCTCGGACATTCACCCTGCCTCCCCTACAGGGTAGTTTTGCAAGTTTTGCAGAACCTACCAGCCTCATGCTGGCTGATCCCAGGGTCTTGACTGATCCACTCTAGGGAGTGGGGTTTGGGGTGGCAGTGACCAGACAGGGCTGCATGAATTTACTCATCATGCTATAGTGGCAAGTTCTGCTTAACTATTGCCCCTTTTCCTTCTGTGAGCTCTTTGGAGAACCAGCATCATATCAAACACAAACTTATCCAATTAGTGCCTAGAACTGGGTCTGGCACAGAGTACATGTGTTAAGGGAAGCATGGGGACCAAGGCTCCAGTTGACACACTATATGGTGGCACCAGGTTGCTCAACACCTTTCATTTTGTGGTTCCAGCCACAAAATGGGTTTCCTATTACACTCTGCCTGGTCTTTGGGATTTCTTTGTACTTAGACTATACAGCCCACTGTTTCCTAAGGAAAGAACAGTGTAAAGAAATGCAACTCATGGAAAGGGATGTAGTAGCTAATGTTCCCAGATGGTGGCTCTCAAAAATCTTTGGAGATCAGGACGCCATACCACTACTCCCAGCCCAGAGGAAGGGGCCTACTGGCCGCCATTCCACCACTCCCAGCACAGAGGAAGGGGCTTCCGGGCTGCTGTATCACTGCCCCCAGTGCAGAGGTAGGGGCTTCTGGGCTGCCATTCCACTCTTCACAACACAGAGGAAAGGGCCTCCCGGGCACCATTCCACTGCTCCCAGCCCAGAGTAAGGGGCTTCTGGGCCACCATTCTACTACTCCCAGTGCACAGGAAGGGGCCTCTGGGCTGCCATTTCACCACTCACAGCACAGAGGAAGGGGCTTCCAGGCCGCTGTACCACCACTCCCAGCACTGAGGAGGTGAGCTGCGTGGGCACCATCAGCACCCCACACCCTGTCGAAATGAGTTGACATGTAAATACATCTAAAAACCAGACTTCCAGATCACCTAAAGCAACCACAAAGGGAAATGAAATGGAACACTCTAATACTCAATGACCAGGACTTCTTGAACTGGCAACAAAAGGGGATCTGGAAAAAATGAAATCAGAAATAATTTCTCAGATAACAGCAGAGATTGTGCTCATAGTGCAAGACATGAATGATAAATCTAGAGAGGAGCTGAGGAACATGATGGAATCCCAACATAGGAAACAAAAGGAATCTATAAAACAGATGTAAACAGATTTCTAGAAGATTAAAAACTTCATTGAAAGTCTACACAGCAGAATGAGCCAATTTGAAGACAGAATTTCAGATATAGAAAATAAGATTGCAATTAATGACCAGGAAAAGAAAAATTACTTCAAAATTTTCAGGTACCATGAGAAATCAATCCAGCAGCTGCTAGACAATGCAAAGAAGAATAACATAAGACTGATTGGAGTCAATGAAGAAATAGAAGAGAGTGCAGAT